AATGTAAATATTTATATTTTCCCACATCATTTTCGATGTAAGCAGAATGTATGCGGGAACGAATTTCAAAATATCTTAATATTTCATTTTCGGCTTCGGCTTCGGTTTCGGCCGAAATTCATTTTTAACTTTCTGTCTTTTTTCGGTTTCGGCCGAAAGTCATTTTTAAACTTTCGGCCTTTTTTCGGCTTCGGCCAAAAGTCATTTTAAACTTTCGGCCTATTTTCGGCTTCGGCCGAAATCAGAAAATCACTTTCGGTCGGTCTCTACATCCAGCCGTCCACACAATATTTACATTTTATGAATCAAAATTGAAAGAAGAAAAAATCATATATGCCTCCTAAATTTATTTATTTTTAAATCAATGGAATTTATACGTTATTTTGCTAAAAATTTTAATAATTATTGAACTATTAGTGAAATTGCAATGCTTTGTTAACCCTCTATTACGCAATTTTAGTTTTTTATGGAAAAAATTTTTTTGATGGCATACTTCATAGTTATTGGACTTAAATAAACATAATATGCAAGAAAAATAATTTTTTAAAATGAAATAATGATTTTATTGGTATGTTGCCATATGGCAACAGTGCGTCTTAAAGGTCAGAAAAGTAAAACTGAACAAGAAAAGGAAACGATAACAATAATATTTGTAAAAGGTGAATATTTAATCGTTTACACAAACAATGGTCCTCAGTACTTAGTTTACAAGCATATCTTCATATTATGCTTTTATATCATGAAAAAGATCATTATAAAAATCATATTTTATAAGCATTTTTTACACAAAAATATAGAAAATCATGTAATCAATATATAGAGCATATAGAGGGACAGTAAATATTTATATACATATGTGAAATGCAGGTTTAATGCTGGTGGAACTGTTTGAAGCAATGTCAACTTTACATTATGCACATTTTATTCTTGAAAATTCTTTTCAACCTGGTCTCTTGCATCTTCCTTTGTTTTCAAGTGGCTCAGGAAAGTGCCAAATATAATCAGCTCTTACTGGTAAGGGTGGAAAAGCTGCAATAGGACCACTCAAATTTTTAGCTGTAAGTTGAGGCTCTATATCCAATAAAGGACTGCCAAGTTTCCTAAACCCTGCTTTACCTTCTTTCATTAGGCATATGGCCATCTTGGTGTTGAAATCAAGTACACCGAGGATATTTTTTGTCGCGATTCGCATTAGTACAATCAGCCTATAGATCAGCCATGCCAGCACAACTGCCATACTGGTATCCAGAAAGTGGAATATTATACAGTGATACTATTTTTTGGACCTTACTGGTATCCTGTATACGGCCAACAGTGAAGCGAGAAGATCCACACCACCCATGAATTTATTGTAAACCATGATTACCGATGGACAAGTTACCTAGATTTCCCTTTTAGCCTTTTGTCCCATCTTTTGACCC